CCAACTGCATCAAACAACATCACTCAATTACGTTGTCGCTGTCGCTCATATGAGCTTACACTTAATATAAATATTCAAGTGTAATTAGATAAACGAAGGCCAGAATGGCAAGCAGCGACGAGTTCCTGCGCCCTCCCAGGTCCGTTCTCCCGCATGTTAATCTTCTCTATTGTTGAGTTTATCAAAGATGAAGTCTAACTGTCAATGCCGCACCTTTAGCAATGAAGAATTTGACGCAATCACTCGTGTACCCTCGCATTATAATTCTCTAGATACATTTAGACTGGGAAGCGGCCAGGATCGGCATTACCAGCAGCAATATGGCGACATGTACTTCTTGCGACTGGCGAAACTCAAGCCCGCGGTTGAAGAGATTGCAGTCGAAGCATGGGAAGGTTTCAGTGTAAGATGATCGCATCCATCGCTTTTCGAGATCTCGGATGGGAGATCTAATAGTATGCACATGGGAAATTGGTTCGCTGACATGTCTTGGTTCGGTGACCAGATCGCTGGAGAAAATGCGCGCCGCGTGGAAAGAGTCCTCGACGTGAGGCAGGGAGAACTTTGCTGGGTCGCAGGAACGATATATATGGACATGCCATTGAAGCCCAATATTTTGGACGATCTTACGAAAGAGGTGATATACTATACTGCCATGTTGCGTACGGCTCTCATTCTAATCCTGGCAATAGAACTATACGTTAGCACCACCTCCGCGACCGACCTACCAAGATCCTGCTCATCCGGAGTTAACACAAATCATGTTGGAAGATGAGTCCGGCCGACTGCGCCTGACTGGAAGCATGCTCCGGAATACGCAGCTATGTACAGGAGCTATCATTGCAGTCTTGGGAACTGAGAACGCCAATGGAGACTTTGAGGTTATAGATACCAAAGTGCCTGATTTACCGCAACAGCCCCGCAGATGGGGAAACGATACACTGGACGCACCAAAGGGAGCCAGCAAGGGTAAGATTGCATTTGTGAGCGGTCTAGGGATTACCGGAACTTCGAGCGATACTCTTGCTTTGGAACTTCTGGCAGATTATTTGCTTGGTTATACCGGTGGTGCTTCTGAAGGAGCACTACCTGATGCTTCTGCAATCACAAGGTTGATTATTGCGGGAAATTCGGTCGGAGCAAGTATGACTACGGACGTCAACGCCGATAGTTCTACAAAGAAGAGGACCGGTCCGAAGAAGTACGGATATGATGCTTCTGCTTATAATGCATCGCCTATTACACGGCTTGATTCTTTCCTAGCGGAGATCCTGCCTAGTATGCCCGTTACACTAATGCCAGGCGAATCTGACCCGGCAAATTTCTCTCTCCCTCAACAGGGAATCCACCGTGCGATGTTCCCGCAAGCTAGGGCATACTGTGCCCCGCCTCCTGCTGGTGGTAACAAGCAAGAGCCAAGTTGGTTCGACAGTGTAACGAACCCGTGGGAAGGGGATTTGGAGGGCTGGCGCCTATGGGGTAGCAGTGGGCAGAACGTGGATGACATCCTCCGGTATCTGAACTTCGCCGATGAGGAAGGAAATGTGGCCGATGGTGCTGGAGATATAGAGGCGAGGATGAGAGTTATGGAGGCTATGCTGCGCTGGAGATGTGGAGTTCCCACTGCGCCCGATACTCTATGTAAGCTCCTATTTGGCCCCTTAATCCTACTGGTGCAAATGCTGATCCGGGAACAGGGTCCTATCCATTTCAAACGCACGATCCATTCGTGATACAAACTTGCCCACACATCTTCTTTGCCGGCAACCAGCCACAATTCAAGACAGCTGTGATTGAGGGTGATGCCCCACTGAAGCTGAACGGAGCCGACACAGCGATGACAGGCACAGATGACGATAACACGTCTGGCCCTCGTGTGCGCCTTCTATCTATACCCAAATTCAAGGAAACCGGAGAATTGGTTTTGGTCGATACCGAGACCCTGGAGGTGGAGGTGGTGAAGTTTAGTACATTTGCTGGACAACAAGAGCAACAATGAGCGGCTGATACCAATAGCATATATTAATGAGATATAAGTCTTATGAGCTACTGCTTTGTTATTTCTTCCTTTTCTTATGATTTTACTAACACCGTTATGCTGGCTCAACCGGAATTCAGGGCTATCTGAGATTCTTGCCTAAACGCGGGCGGTGCCAAGATCCGCGCGGAAAAGTCCCGACTCTTCAATTCAATCCTCTACTACCAAGTATCGGGATCTGGAGAACCAGCTACCTCAATAATAAATATTGACGTACACCTAAACGCACTCATCAGGCTGCGGTCAACTGGTGAGCCAGGTATTTCGACATGCTCCTCAACGCCAAGACAGGTATATCGGAGCATTGATTGCATGCGCCACCACACAAGCAGGCTAATTAAATCCCCTCTATAGCCATTTCCACGTCCACGGTGCTTTTGGTTCCATACTCCAAATGGCACGTTCCAAGATACCACGAATGGATGAAAGATGAGGTAAATACGTAATCCTTTTAGACAGCCAAACCCCAACCGTAAATTTTCGAATATTGTACCTACAATTACTGACCTGCCATATCAGGAAATCCAAGAAGCAACCGCATCCGAACCCCTCTCTATAGAGGAAGAATACGCCATGCAACAAAGCTGGCGCCAAGACCCAGACAAGTTGACATTCATTGTCTGTCTCCCATCATCATTACAAGGAGAAAGCTCAACACCCACCATTAAAGACACAGACGACGCCCCGGACCGAATGGTCGGGGACATCAACCTCTTCCTCCGTGTCGATGACGGCGAAGAAGGCGACGCGGAGCCCCAGATCATCGGGGAAATCGAACTAATGATAGCCGAGAAGAATAACCAGCGCAAGGGCTTTGGGAAAGCCGCGCTTAACACCTTCCTACGGTATATCGTTGACCATGAAGCGGAGATCTTGAAAGAGTTTGTTAGCAGGGATGATACTGCCGCGACGGCAATGAAGGGGGTTGAGGCGGTGCCTAAATTTGCCTGTTTGAGTGTGAAGATTGGCCAGGCTAATGAGCGGAGTTTGGCGCTGTTTGAGGGTGCTATGTTCAAGAAGGTTACTGAGGAGCCAAATTATTTTGGGGAGTTTGAGTTGAGGAGGCAGAGGGAGGCGCTGGGTCGGGATATGGTTGATGTGAGTTTGGAGAGGGCTGGGGTGTCGGGGTATGCTGAGGTGGGTTATGAGAGAGTTGAGTGATTATTGACTACTAGTGAGTGGTACTGTTTTGGATGTTGTTACAGATAGGTTGCTTCTGTTTGATAGAATACTGCATATAGTTCTTAGATCAGACTATCCAACTATGACATCAGAGGGCAGGGGCCGTCTGACTGGGTTGTAGATCCGTTTGAACATACATCTTAAACTAAATCTCCATGCTCTTGGTATGGTTGCATGTATGTATGCTGTCATAGCAATCGGTGAGGGCCTCACAGCATGGTCCGTATGTTACACGATAGCTTACAGCATGCATAGCAACGTCAGCAACGCATACAATCCGCCCAATACTACCTACGAACTACAACCAAAGAGTGGACAGCATTCCACTAAGGCTAGCAATGCCCGTCCAAACAACACAGCCTAACCAGAGCACAAAGCATTCATATCACGTTATCAGGCGAAAGTCGAGGTATCATGGAATTATCAACTGTTTTTCTCCATTACGTTGTATAGGATGCAAAGGTGCTCCGACAAAGCAAGAACCCTTAGCAGAAATGTTCCAGTCATGTAGGTCATCCGGTTTCAGTGAACCGTGAAGACATCCATCACAGTCCACTGTTAACCAGACGCGAAGAGACAACCAATCTGGTTCAGAGATCAATCCACTCTTCGTGTCGGCCCACAGAAGCAATCCTTGCCCATGCCAATTCCCTACTCGTGATCGACATTTGTATTCATGCTCCGACCATGTTCCATGCGCCGACGACCTCCTCGCCGAGTCCCAACCTCAATGTGTTGATGAAGGTATTTACAGAGCCTTCTTCTTGTCTCCCTTGGAGACGTCGACAACCTTGAGAGCTGTAGGAGAAGACAATTGATGTTAGTACTTGATCCATATGATGTCATGCAATATCCGAGGTCCACATCAGACATCCATCTCGAGTCGTAGGAAACAATCGAATCCGACGACATGTATCTTATTCCAATAACACCATCCAAAGAAATAGTCGATCAGGTGACGGGAGCAAACGCACCAGGGGGCAGGCTCTGCTTGAGCTTGTCGGCCTTGTCGGAGTCCTTCAGGACAAGGGTGTAGACGAAGCGGGAGCAGCGGACCTTGAACTTGATCTGCTGGTCCTTGGGGTTGCGCTTGATGCGAGCAGCTGTTCAACAGACAAGACCATCACGCGTTAGCCTCGACTTCATATCATTCATCCATCCCAATGAACCATTCCAATGTGCCCTTTCGATGATGGTCGGGTACCCGTCTCGAGCTTCCCCCCCCTCCTCAAAGAGCTAGCTCCGCGGAGCTTTCCACCTCATGATAACTAAGCGGCTAAAGGTCGGGTAAACGTACAGGACGCATCCTTGCGGCGGCAGACCTCGATGAACTGCTTGATGTCGGAGATTTCCTGAGGCATGGTGGCTAGTGGGGTTTGTGACTTTGGTTTGAGTAGTCGTGGATGACGGAAGGTTTGGATGACAATCGCGGGTCTCGAAGCTCGTCGGCGGGCGGTGCTGGCCGGGGGGGAGTAGTCAGCTAGCTTCTGTGGGCTGTAGGGTTGCCCCCCGGAAGCCCTTAGTTCCAGTGCCACGTCGTGGCGGGATGTCCCGCAATTATATATGTGGCGGTGCACCGATAAGGCGGCTGCCTACGGATTACGGGGGATCGACATCTATCTATAGTGTTTTAGCCACCCTCCGTCTTATATCTACTGGGATATCTGGCAACAAGCTTGTTGTTCTTTTTGACAGATATCATCGCCTCCTTTCGCCTTTGTGACTACTAGCAATACTTTTCTCGTGTATACACAGCAGGCGAACTCTAGTCCAGAACAAAATGCCGACGCCTTTGGATCGCGCATTAAACTCCAAGGTACTATACATCCAACCCCAGACACGGCGTCCGTAAGCTAATAAGGTCTCAGAACCTATTTCTAGGTATATCCTTCTGAGCTGAATATTGTTGACGGAAAGTCCGATCTAACTTTGTCAGGGTTTGCCGGCATGGTGACTGCAGCGGCCGCTTGGGCCATCTGGGGTGGCGATATGTTCCCGGCTGAAGCTGACCCAACTGGAGGCACGGGATCGAATTCTTCTGTGGTTGTAGGTATACCAAACTGACGTCTAAAAGATCCGGAAAACTGGACTGCAGATGAAATGCGGACATGGCTTCGAGTTGTATGTTTTCTTCTTCCATCGTAAACAAAACAGTCAATGTCGCCAAAAAGAGCAATGTTTTCTAACTGTCACTCCAAGAGGGGCCTTTTGCCCAGCGAAAGCGCATCGCGTGACGAGTTACTCGAGCGCATCAAAGCAAATATGCGTGTACCGCGAAGATCTGCGGCCCAGTGATGAGATAGCGGTCGCTTTGTTTCGGGAGTCTTCGCTTGGCGTGTCATGGGGTATTTCCTTGGATTTCTTTCCGTTTTCTTCTGCGGCTCAAAATGTGTAATCGCGTGGTTGGATCATAGCGCATAATGTGTTTATCATGTCATCACACCGCAATAGCAATTCTAGTAATTTTCGTCAAAGGCATAGTAGAAGGCGTCCTCTTCCATCAAATAAAGTTCGGTGTTGATCCTTCATACGACGAGTCGGAAGTTCTGGGTTTGGATAAGCCATTCTCGCTTGCGCTTTCCCTTGGGCCCGTCGGCGGATGGATTCGGCACCAGCACAAAAGTCTCGCTGAAGCCTCGTTGCGGCAGATCTCTGGACTCTCCAAAGCGCACATAGCCGCTAACGACCACCAAGATAGACATGTCCTTGACAGTCGTTTCAGTGGGGAGCTTCACTCCAGTGGATGTAGGTGTCGGATACGCCTTGTTGATAATCTGGCAATCGACAGACTGCACCTCATAATGCGTCGGGGACATTTGGTTGACGAAAATCTCTTGGACAGCGGCTCCATCGGCGACAGCGTTTCCGTTGAAAAGGATCATGGCCGTAGGCTGGCTGTAGAACGAGGCTATCGTGGAACGGTTGTTCTCGAGGGCAGGGTAGAAGGACTGGACAAAGTCGGTTGCCGCTGCAGATTGATCTAAGTTAGAATTTTCAGGCAAGATGCCGCTTGCAAATCGACATACCATCCGTAGAAACCTTTGTCAATGTGTCTTCTGAAGGAGGAGCCATTGTGATTCGAGACTGTTTTTTATGGATTCCAACAACAAATTCGGTAACCAAGCCAAGGGACTGTATATAGACCCTAATGTCGCGAGCCCCAGATTCTTGAAAACCCCTGAGTTGTCCAAGAACGAGTTATAATATGGTGGTTGAATAGTGGGAACGAGGTAGATGCTATGTAAAGAATGCGCGATCGCGGAGAAGAGGAGCAGTCATCGGACGGCAGAAAAAAGGCACGGAAGCTTGGACCACCCGGAGATGATGATCGAGCTCCGACGAAAACGCCGCCTGGAATAAACCATCGTTGCTCCCTTCTGCAGTCCCACGCCAATGGCTATCTCGAGGGCAGGTTTTCGCGCCGCTTCTTGGGCCGGCCAATTTCTGGCCTGCAGTCGCCCATCTTGGAGATGCGTTCCCCGCACAACTGCCCGCCCAGTGACAACGATCCGTCCGCGTCAATTCGCAACGGCGGCCTCGGAAAGCGCTTCTAAGAAGCCGTACTATGTCACGACTCCCATTTTCTATGTCAACGCCGGTATGACCTCTTCGGATATTTTGACTGTGCTTTTTCGTTCACTGCTAATGTCTTGGCTTATGTAGCCCCTCATGTCGGTCATCTGTATACTATGGTCCTTGCCGATGTCATCAAGAGATGGCGGACACTCATCGGAGACGCTGATGCACAATTGCTGACCGGAACGGACGAACATGGCATGAAGGTATGGGCCAGTTATTACTGTTTAGCACAGTATTGTGCTAATTCTGTATAGATCCAGCAGGCCGCGTTGGCTGCAGAGATGGATACGCAGGCGTTCTGCGACATGAATTATAAGACGTTTGAGGTAGGCAACAATCACTGCTTGTCAGGTTTTGATCTGAGGTCGACTCTAACCTCCAAGTTTAGGCTTTAGCAAATGCCGCGGATATGGACTACAACTACTTCATACGGACGACCGAACCTGCGCACAAGGAAGCTGTTCAGTATTTTTGGGTATGTGGCTAGGAGATGCGTCCACGCGCATAGCTCAAGGCTGACATGTGTATAGGAAGTGTTGGAGCACCGGGGATATGTCTACACCGCGAAGCATGAAGGCTGGTACTCGGTTAGCGATGAGACATTTTACCCTCAGACGCAAGTACAAAAGTCGCTGGACCCTGAGACTGGACACACGAAGATGGTAAGCTGCACGCAAAACCACCTGCCAAAACGATTGAAGCTCACCCAGACAGGTCTCCATTGAGACAGGAAAGGAGGTGGAGTGGTCGTCGGAAACCAACTACCATTTCCGTCTGTCAGCTTTCCAGGAGCGTTTGCTCGATCTATACAAAACTGGATTTATTACCCCAACGATGTATACAACCAATGTCGTCAAGTCTGTTTCGGAGGGCCTTCAAGATTTGTCAATCTCTAGGCCTGCGGAGCGGCTGACCTGGGGTATTCCGGTTCCCGGCGACAACACACAGACCGTCTATGTCTGGCTAGATGCGCTTGTCAACTACTTGACCAAGGCAGGCTACCCGTTTGCACCCGGTCAAGGAAGCCGCCTTGGTTGGCCTGCGGATGTACATGTGGTCGGTAAGGACATTGTTCGGTGCGTATTTGCCTTCAAGCTTGCCATGTACGCGACCCCATGACTAACCGTGCAACAGCTTTCACTGCGTATACTGGCCCGCATTCCTTATGGCTCTCGACCTCCCTCTTCCCCGCAATGTACTCGTTCATGGACACTGGACTATGAACCGTGAGAAGATGTCGAAGTCTACGGGTAATGTGGTGAACCCCTTCTTTGCCATCAACCGCTTCGGAGTGGATTCCATGCGTTTCTTCCTTATCCACCAAGGTGCATTGGTGGGCGACGCCGACTACGATAATGCGTACATCATCCGCGACTATCAGAAGCTACTGCAGAAGGGGCTTGGAAACCTTGCGCATCGGGCAATTGGCTGTGCCAAGGGTAATCTTCGGACTTACATCGAGAATGGCACGTGCGGCCGACTTCCACCAGCGACTCCGGCCGATGAGGCGTACGAAACAATGCTCAAAGATGTGCCCAAGAGAGTAGCAGAGCAAATGGAGAATCTGAATCCCCGTGCTGCCCTGCAAGAAATCACTACCCTAATCGATCAGGTAAGAGATAAAGATAGACCCACCCTATGATCGGTGATGATTTCCAGACTTGTTCTAACCCGGTCCACCCAGACCAACAAATACTTCCATCACGCAGAGCCATGGAAGAGTCCGAACGACCGCCAGCGATCGATTTTCAATGTTGCTGAATCCCTGCGAATGGCCGGGATCCTCCTGCAGCCTGTCATGCCCACCAAGGCCAACGAGCTTCTGGACATGTTCCATGTAGACAAAACGGACCCGGCCAAAAGGAACTATGCGGCGGCGACGTACGGCTCCGACGCAGACTACGGAGTGGATGCGAAGAAGAGTATTCTATTTCCCCCTCTTATCGTGGAAAGTTAATGTGGCTGTCCTTTCCATTTGATAACAGGAATGGGCTGGGATCCAATCATGGACACTAGATTGGAACGTTCGGTCAGCCAGAACACGCACAATTAAGCACGGGTCTCCGCCTGGTGGAGGAGACTGTGGAAATCGAGCGGGTTTGGCTTTGCCGTTTGCTGCTTGAATTGGACTGCGTTATGGACGGCTCTGGGTCCCAGACCGTCATTCACACGCATGCAGGGGTGGAGAGAAGGTTTGTGTTATGTCATGGTATGGCGATAACTGGAGCAGAATATGCGCGAGTTTATCAACGGGAAAAGGGTGCCGACTGGGCGAAGGGTTGGTCGAATTCCTGATAGATAGACTCGGGGCGGGAAACTCTTGTGTGTAGGTTTCCCGCGGCAAACTGGGGCGGACTATATCGGAAAGCGTCCGTGTTGTATATCACGAACTATGGGTTTCAGCGCTATATCATGGGGGGAGTATATGAGGTCTGTATCATATTCTAGGGGTTTTCTTTCTCTTTTCGATTGTAGTATACATTTATCATCTTATACCTAATCTTGTCTCCTCTCCTCTTACCTCCTACTATTTATTGAAAACAACAACCTCTCATCCCAACAACTGACAGATCATATCATATCTTAACTATACTACTATCTACCCTTCCTTATAACATCCCTATCATCATCTTAACAATCATCGTCATCATCATCTCCACCAATTGAACACACCACCACCACATCCCGAAGGGAACCCAAAAACCAACAGACCATCACAATGGGCAGCATCCTCCCTCCCACCACGCCTCCAACCTACAAAACCCCCTGGAACCCGACCCCTCTCGTTGAATCCACAACCCTCTCCCGCGCCGCAGGATGTAGAATTTTCCTGAAACTCGAAAACATCCAACCTAGCGGCTCCTTCAAGTCCCGTGCCATGGGCAACCAAATTCTCTCACACCTCCTCAAGCCCGAGAACCACCACCGTCCCGTGCACTTCTACGCTTCCTCCGGTGGCAACGCCGGCCTAGCTGCCGTCTGCGCGGCCCGGAGCCTGGGGTACCCCTGCACGGTAGTGGTACCTGTATCGACGAAGCCGCTGATGGTGCAGAAGCTGCGGAATGCAGGAGCAGCGGATGTGATTCAGTACGGAGAGACATTCTCGGAGGCGGGACAGTACATGAAGGATGTTGTGATGAAGAACAAGAACACTGATGGTGAAGAGAGCGAAGGTATTGATGACGTTGTGAAGATCGCCCTGCATCCATTCGACAACGAGCCCATCTGGCAAGGGAACAGCACTATCATTGATGAACTGGTGGAGCAGATCCCGCCGCCTGCCGGGGAGGAAGAGGAGGAAGTGCATGCTGGTCGTGCGTTGCCGGTTGATGCTATTGTTTGTAGTGTTGGCGGTGGGGGGTTGTTGAATGGATTGGTTATGGGCATTGAGAGGCATAGGGCTAAGGCTAAGATGTCTTCTGCTGCTGCTGCTGCTGCTGCTGATGATGGTGCTTCGAAGCCTGTTCATCTTGTAGCTGTTGAGACCAAGGGCACAGATTCTCTGGCTACGGCGCTGGAGAGTAACGAGCTCGTCTCGTTGCCGAAGATCACGTCGCAGGCTACGTCGTTGGGGGCTATTAAGGTCTCTGAGAGGACGTTTCAGTATGCGGTGCAGCCGCCGCCGGGCGTGAAGGTGCATAGTGCGGTGTTTTCGGATGCGGAGGCCGCTAGGGGCGTGTTGAGGCTTGTGGATGATGAGAGGTTGTTGGTTGAGTTGGCTTGTGGTGTTTGTGTGGAGGCTGCGGTTGGGGGAGCTAGTTGTGCTTCTTCATCTTCTTCTTCGAAGATGGTGGTTGCGGGTCAGAAGAGGAAGAGGGACATGGATGCTGGGTATGTGAGTAAGGATGAAGGCTATGGGGATGATCGGTTGTCTGCTGGGGAGAATGAGGATGATGGTCCGGTTTCTTCGCCGTCGCTGTCGGCCTCTGCTGGGGGTTTGCAGTCTAAGTTGAAGGAGTTGGTGCCGGACTTGAATGAAGACAGTCGGGTGGTTATCATTGTTTGCGGTGGTAGTAATGTTACCATTGATATGGCGGCAGAGTGGAGGAAGATGTTGGCTGAGGGGTGGGCTTGAGAGTGATTGTTTAGATTTCATGGCTATCTTTTCTATGGGTTGTGGTGTATCTCTTGGTTTTCTTTGTTCTTGTGAAAACTTGGGTTGCATGGGTCTCACTATACAGGTTAATGATGTATGACACAGCGTGCTTGTTGTTTGATATATGATATAATATTAGCTGTTATTGGCAAACTTTTTTTTCTGATAATCTGGAATAACTGTCATAAATCACTCTAACAGATTATTCTCCTTGGACTTCTCGCTCGCAATATACAATAATGATAATGTCTTCATGCTGTAGCAGGAACGGCTGCACTGGTAATCGTCCGAATGCGATAATCCCAGTAGTTAGATCGAATGGGATCATACTTCTCCTTCAGCAAGGTAAGCATACGGACAGCTTCCTGTTCTGATGTCGGTTCGCTTTCCGCAACGAACACATCAGCCAGCCATTCAACAGCATGGCTACTCTTGACCTCAACGCCACCATCTTCCTTATCGACGACGAACTTGCCAGCAAATTCCTTCCATTCCGAAAGAGGCCGACCCGCGGCACGCAATACACCCCGCGCATATGACCACGGGCTACGATTCTCGGGCGCCCGGACAATCTTAGATTTAGCGTACTGCAGCTCAGCGTCGACAACGTCTTCATCGACAACGGCTAGTCGGCCCTTCTCCGAAGGGTCTCCGCCGCTATTGGGCATTCCAGCATCTGGCTCGTTATCGCGCGGGCCAAACCGGAGCATGAAGCGGTGGTTCCAAGCGGAGTTGTTGCGGACATCCGATGCAATGAGGGCCTCCACGTCCTGGATTTCCCGCGGGGCATCCCAGAGCTTGAAGTGGCGGACGTACCAGTGACGGTAGGTCCAAACATGGTAGTTTTTGGAGTCTTGGGCAAACATTTCCATGAGGAAGTCTGGCTCCTTAGCCGGTGGGCTTGGGAAGTGATCTGTGCGTGACATGAGAACTTGACGATGGTGCCTGGTAATTGTTAGTTGCGTCGCTGGAAGTGGGATGAAAGGGATAATTTGCCATACCATATCTGATAGTTCTTGAGATACTTGAGTGAAACACCGTTGAGCCATTCCAGCTCGTCTTTGAGATCTTTGCCCAAAGCAAACAGGATCTTGGCTCGGTAAATCCTGATAGTTCTAGTCAGCTTCCAGTCCCAACGGTATCATACGCGGGCCGGTCAGGTCTTACTTACCATACGGTATAGTGTGCCGGGTTCATCGAGATAATGTCTTCAGTCAACTTCAAGGCCCTTTCCGACATTTCGTTGGCCGCCATGACCGCTCGTAGATACGATGTGGCCTCAAGATAGTCCGAAGGATAGGCAATGGTAGCCAAGGGCTGAGCTCCTGATTCGGAGCCATCGTTCAGCGGAATTGGCTGTATAGATGCCCACTCGGGATCAGATGCGTATTTTCCTTCCATATTTCAGTTTGAAAGTAAATACTTTCTAGATATAGCGGCTAGTAAACAGTATAACAACTGGTCAGGGGTACGGCGGTTCACGCTATACACATCCAAGGAGACCCTCCCGTCAATTTGATGTATAGGTGAGCTGAAGTATTCAACCGGCTTGCACCCTGATGTGTCTGGGACAACACAATTTAGACCCTCGTCCGATATCCCGACGTGGTAGTGAATGACGTCCGGTAAAATCCGGAGAATCAAAACCCAAGCTTAAGTAAATTACTTGGTCGCAACGGAGCAGGTCGAGTCTGTAATAGACACGTTTCTATGCTATTAATTGTCGGGCTTACTCTCCGACGTGCAAAGAGGACTGCGTGATATAGCAAACGGGGAAGATATTCAAGTGGATGGATTGATATGCGCCAAATTGAGCGACTCTCCGTGCGGGTGGGGTATCATTGCCTGAGGCATCCACAGAACAATATCAAGGCGGACAGCCATTTTGGGTGATTGTTCTAGCCAGTCTGCCATTGTTTTCCATCATTCCGTCGCCATTCCTCCATGTTCATCTGGTACAACAACCACTACTTGACCCCGGGTCTTTTCCTGAGCCACTATCAGTGGCGGTCGCCGGTGCATTTTCCAAGCAGCCAATGCAGAAATCTCAGTTATTGTCCACAATGATTCATAAAGGCAACGTGCGTTTCCCGAAGAGGATAAAAAGTCCCCGGGCACAGTTCATTGGCCCGCGATAAGGCCAGGCAAAGTGTCCCCCGCATTCTCCAACTTGACATGGCCATCGTCTCCTCATCCTCTGCCATATCCACCTGTTCGCTTTCTTTATCCTCAACTTACCATGAGCCCACCTCGGACCGATAATGCGTCGTGTCAAAAAGTCTCGTAATGGATGTGCCCGGTGCAAGAGCAAACGAGTGAGTTGAGTATCTTTTGAGCGGTGGCTACATAGTCCCGCCCCATGTGGCCCCAAACATTAATTTGATGCTCCGCCATTCAACAGGTAAAATGCGGGGAAGAACGACCTCATTGTAGTCGATGCACCCGCCTGGGTGTCAATTGCCCTGGGTACGTCCAGTCTCTGCGCTGGGTCACCAAGTATCCGCCGCAGGCCCCCGGGGAGTCGAACAAAGATTCCACTGGCGATATTCCCAGTGATTCTCGCACCATCCCGAATCAATGTTCCGATCCCAAAAATCTGACTACCAGCCCTGCCGACTATGTTGACCCACTGACACAGTCGTTGGCCACGGACAATGACAGCCTAAACTTCACCACTTCCGACGACCCGGCCAATCCGCGGAGTCTGGAATTGGGCGGACCAAGCGGTATATGTGACAACTTATGGGACTTACAGCAGTCAGGCTCGCTACCGGAACTGGCAGACCTCCATTCTCCAGCATCGGCATCAGCGGCTAGCCAAAATAACCCGGCATTGAACTTCGAAACACCGGGAACTAATGCAGATGATCCATTCGGGCTGTTCTCTTTGGCCGCACCGATTCTGCAAGATGAACCTCACATCTTTTCTGGCTTTTCGCCTTCAACTTTAGTACGCCAGTACCCTCCACCTGGCTCGAGGCCATCACAGCGGGACTTCACCTCGATCCCGCAGCCCCTCAACAACCCTTCGTGGACTCTCGTGGAGTACTACTTTAAAGAGGTGGCGGCCTTGTTCTCCAGCTATGACAGTCAAATGAACCCATTCCGGTCGACGGTATCCCGACTATGGGGCTCGTCATTGGCCATGTGTCGAACCATGCAGAGCATGGCGGCCGCAACCCTCGTCCACGACTTTCCCCAGTTCGGACCACTAGGCCGGAAAATGCGTGATGAGGCAGTTGACATCATCACAAAGGAATCTACTCTGGACGACAAGTCACTCCTAGCGTTGCTCATGCTTGGCCAAACGGCCAGCTGGCACGACCCCAAGGACCTTGGCATTTCCTTTTTCAACCTGCTACGAAATCATCTGGACGCCAAACACGCCGGGCCACCAGTGCCAGGCCGTAGCAACAACCATCAATTCTTCGAAGAGGCTTTGGTCTATTGGGAGATGCTCCTGTCCTTTGTGGCAGATGATTCGGCGGTCTTGCCAGGATCCGCGGCCGCCACAACAGGTGAATCGCTCGTCCTACAACGCGTTCCTCATCCATGGACAGGCATAGCGCGCGACACCCAGCATACAGTCCAAGAAGTAGGAAGGCTTATACGTCGAGAGCGGAGACGGATTCGCTCCCGCTGCTTCACCTCACACTCAGATATTGCACGAGCCCAGCGCGCCATGGCAAAAGCAACCGAGCTAGAAGAACGACTTTTGGGTCTAGCACACCCAGCCGAAGCCGAAATCATCAGCCCAGGTGACGACGAAACCCCGGTCTGGCATCTTCTTACAATGGCCGAAGTATATCGCTGTACCGGTCTAATGCAATTATACCGGGTCTTTCCCGATCTTCTTCGCCGACGACTACCCACACAACGGCCTTCTCCAAACCCACAGGCTCCAGATTCAGCCATGCAGGATCCGTTCCTCTCTCCTCCAATGGGCAGTAGTACACCCTGGTACTGCGACCCTTCATGTCCGCCCCCCAAACCCACCGACCCTGCCGATCCAACCACCACCGCCGCACATTCAGGCTCTGAATCCGACACTTACTACGATACCTGGCTGACCGAGTTCGCCCTCACCACTCTCTCCCGCCTGAAAACCATTCCCCTTGAGTCCCGCACCAGATGTCTCCAGCCCTTCCTCCTCGTAGCCTCGAGCAGCGAGCTCCGTCTTCCCCGCCTGCCCCCACTAGATGCCACTCTGGACAGCAGCAACGGCCCAAGCATCTCCTCCCACGCCATCGAGGTCTCGCAAACCCGTCGATTCATCCTTGGCCGGCTCACCTCGTATCTGCACGTGCTCCCTCCCAAGCCCATTAGCGTCTGTCTGCAGCTGGTGCGGGAGGTTTGGCGGCGCATGGATGCCGGGGAACCGGGCGTTTATTGGATGGATGTGATGATAGAAAAGGGCTGGGAGACAACGATGGGGTAGTCTTTCGTTTCTTCCTCATGTTTGCTTCGAGTACCAGCTGGGAATTGTAATGAATGATGAACTTGAAAGGATATAATATTTTCTTTTCTAGGTGCTTTGTTCATATTGCTAGGGGTGTATATTTAGCGTTTCATAGTATCAGTACTAGTATCTAGGTTGTTCCTTTGGGTGAAATACTCATACTTGCTTCGTACTCTTAGTACTATCAAAAATTGGCAATCCCTGAGAAGATTCGGTAGTAGTACAGTAGTAGTATTGTGTTTTCATTCCTAGGAACATTGAATCCAAGCATACTACATATAAAGGCTCAATACACTTCTTGACTTGACATTCGCATCGCTACATCACTTAGATACAACATAACCCATAAAAATGCAGACATAAGTTTTTCACTGAAGCAGGGGTCCCTAATGCAGCATCTGAAGAGAATCTGAAGAAAAAGAAAAGTGAGGGAACCCATATTGGTGATAATGGAAAAAATAAGACAAGAAAAGAAAGATAGATCAATAAATTGTGTATGGATAAGGAATACTATATTCCGTAGTTAGATAAGAGGCGTGTCAAGAAATCTGGAAGGAATTATTATACACAGAAGGGAAGGTAGTAAGTATAGTGAAGCCATAACAGAAGAAAGGGGAATTGAAGGTCGATTAAACAAATAAATATGCAATCGTGCAATGCCCTAACACCAAGCTCGGACGTAAGGGGAAATGATCGTAAAAGGTTCAAGCAGGATGAAATGAGAGAGGGTGAGGGAAAGTTGACTTCAGACAGCTCGTTTCCAGAACTTCCAGCCTTCCCGACGTTCTTGAACGCCGACGCCAACAAGACGCTCAATGCCTTCTGGTCCGTCGGCGTTCTCAAACTTCTGCTGGTCGATCTCTTCGCCACCCTCTTCGTTGGTGCCATTGTGTAGCACCGCTGGCCAGAGGACTCCAATACCGTCTCCACCCAAGGTTGTCTCATACTTTGAGAAATTTTCTGCAGCGAGCTTGCCCTCCAGCTCACGGAGCGCGTCCGCGCTAGCATCTGGGCGCAGGAGTGTGATTGCACAACCACCGCCGCCTGCACCGGTCAACTTTGTCCAACCGATATTGGCAAAGTCGACCAGTTCCCGGATTCGCTCCAGTCGCGGATGAGATACCCCCAGGGAAACTAGGAAACCGTGATTGACACGAACCAGCGTTCCGATATGTTCAAGAGTCTCCTTGTCGATGCTATCGCCATCCACCCCCTGGATCGCATCTTGCGCAGACACAGTGACCTTGTCGATGGCATCGAGGATCGATTCGGTGACGACTGGATGTTCCTTCTTGAGCTTCCCAACTTTGGCAACTTCAACCGCCGTCGAGCGGCTCTGTCGTGTGTCAACGAGCAGGAGCGGCAATTCCGGGAAGTTCGGTAACGGTATGACTTTGGGGGGCTTCGAGTAGTCCTCTCTCCTGAAAATCACGGCCTTGCCGCCGGTAGAGACCGTGTTGTCCACACCACTTGGGTTTCCGTGTATACATAATTCTCCGACAAAAGCCCACCGGTTGATACGCTCGATCTGTAACTCCGCTTCATCCGGGGGTTGGTCATCATGGGGGCCTGCTAGAGTACGAATCTGAAGTAGCAACGCAGCACTGAAACAAGTGCAGACACTGGCGCTGCTTCCAAGACCTGCACCCATGGGGATAGTTGAGCGCAAAGTATATATAGCTCCTGGGTGCTGGGGTGAGCCCAAGGAGCAAAATAGGTACAGAAACGCCAGCGCCGACCCTTTGTGTTTCTTCCGTATTTCCTCGGATGCCTTAGGTGATATATCTTCAACACACGGTTTTAAAGAGTCGTACAATTCTTGGTCGAGGCTGGTCACTAGGTCGTAATAGTATTTCTTCTTGGAGGGCTGCTTGAAGAGGTCCCAGGGCAGATCGTCAATGTTCCAGGTGTGGTTGAAATCCATGTCTCTGAGATTTAAGGTGATGGTGCGCTGCGATTTGGACAGGGTGGTTACGAGAAAGTAGGAGCGAAGAGAGATTGCGGCGGCCATGGCAGCCTTGCCGTGCACGACGGCATGTTCTCCGAAGACGATGACCTTTCCCGGCGCGGACACCATGAAAGGGGGCGCCATCGGCGACGAAGCCTTGCGGGCCATGGCTCTTTTTACGGAATCGACCCCGTTGGTGGGAGAGGTGGCAGGGATGCTAGAAGTGTTGGTGATAACGGTGGTCGCTGAAGTGTTCGAGGCGGCGTCGGAGGTATCAGGACTATCGTCGCTAACGGTGACGGTTTTAGACTGAGGTGGAGGGGCATGATCGGGTATCAAATGGGACATGTTGCGACGCTGGCCAGCTTTGGAGGCTCTGAGACTGCCGTTCTTGCGACGTACTCGCCCGTGGTGCATTACTGAAGCGAATGGAAAGGATACGTAACTTAGGGGGTTGCGATGGATTCGGGGGGGCTGAAGGTCGGGAAGGCTAAGCGTTAGGAGAGTTGGACGATGAGCATGGCGAGAAGAGAGAGACTCAGAGTCGCGGGGGGAGAGAGAATTAATGAGAGAAAAAAGGGCCGCAAAGAGGCGCCCAAGTCAGCATGCGTGAAAACCGAAGAAGCAAGAGAGATTGAGAACACGAATCGCCGGGGCAGTTGATCGGACGGCGCGAGGCAGGGATCGCTGGATGCTAGAAGGGGAAGCCGGGGTGGCAGCCAATCACCAGGCCCCAATTGTGCATTAGTCACCGTTGGACGGGCGGCCATCTGACAATTGCTTCTTCTGGCCTGCGTTTAATCCTATCGCCTTGCAGCGCCCATTTCTTCGTGGTCTAGATTCTACACGGTAGCCCTGAGTCTGATTACCCTCACTGCCACCTGCTGCACTCTTTCGTGCTCTCTGCCCTCCCCCCGAGCAAGCAAATCACCTTTCTCCTTCCAGCTTTTGTAGCAAGGTCGTAACACGGCGTCATCCAGACGCAATCCTCCTGAGGTCGGTGCGTAGGTAGCTAGCCCAAAGCATGGGGTGTCCACTCATTGCTACCTTGATGCTACATTGGTCGGGTATACCGAGCACGACGCCCTTTGCAACCGGTTTCGCCTAGGTTGGCGAATTCTCCCATTCAGCCGAGTATATATTCCGTCTAACCTCTCGGGTGTGAGCTCTGACTGGATGATTCCAGTAGTCATAAGACGAGGCACTCATCGGAGACGGCTTCCGGAGTATATCTGTTCCAAATTGCATCTCCAGCTCGCGGGCAAACACGTCAGTCTGAACCTTCCACGGCATATCAGCTTGGTAAAAATAAGAGCCCGGGTGTGAATGGCCACTCACTGCAGCAATTGATGCCTACACACCTGCTAAAGGCCACCTGAGTTGGGCTGACATTGTCTGGTATCAACTGTTCCTCTGATGCATCTCTCGCTTCCGATTGAGTAACATAATCCATTCTCGGGCGTTGATCCTTGCTTTATCAACTCCAGCTCTAGGGAGTATTCTGCGCTTAGTATGATCGTAGTAAGCAATCTGAAGGGAGCTCGTCTTTCAGACAGTTGTAGTCTTGATATAGGTTAATCTTCATGATCAATATTGGAGTCTATCAAAACCACCCTTCTAGCCAATTCAAGCAGCTGGGTTGACAATGCTTGGAATCATTTTTCATAGTCATATCCAAATGTTAAGGAAAAGAAACAGCAACTTGTGATAATGTTGTTCCGGGCATGAGAGTGTTAGTCCCTTTACCGTGTTGCACCAGGCCAGGGGAACGGTGCTATGCAATGGATGGCAGTCAGATGATTCCAGATGCAGATGGGGCCACTGCCAAAATGCAGTTGCAAACTGGCCCACCACATGCCATTCGCTCCTCGTGCAACATGCTGGGCTTTCATCAACTTTCAAACTAGACCACATATCATCTGCACAATATTAACCTTCTTCATAGAAAATGATAATCAACATGATTCTATGATTCTTTGGCTTCAGTCATTCTTACTGACCCATCATAACTGTTGACTGTCATCATAATATAGTACCGTGTACGAGTCACTGCACACTTCCTGTCCAAGAAAAATGAGTACACAAGACAGGCGTCAAATACACAATAGCGCTCTCTCACCTAATGGGTCGAGGAACGATGTCATTTTTATGACATTAGAACGACAGACACAGCACTCAATTAACTACTCCCAGCAGGCTCAGAGCCTCGATCCTTTTGATGCGGAGTCTGGCAGCATTTGAGGATCAAAATCGACTATTTAGTGGTTGCGATCTTCATCTGAAGAATTGCATGATCGTCTCATGGCATGATAGGGCCCTGTCTCAAAGGGGCCTGAAAACCACTGTATCATCCTGAGCTCACATCAAAACCAAGATTCCTTCCCAAGGAACAGGATGGTATTGAACATTTCTTCGGGTAGATGATCAGCACCATGCCGTTACTCATACAAATTCATTGAGCTTCTGTTCGAAGACTTGCCAGTCTTCAAGATATTGGTTGGAAGCAGAGTAGAGACATATCGTTCGCCACAGAACTTTTAGTTTCTAGGTTCCAAGCCAAGAAAGAGCCGGTTAACATAGGCTGAAACGATCTGTTACATGTCTACATCATTCCGATAGACTTTATACTTCCTTGCTCTGACATTTGACGTTTCCTTCCCCGGAAAAATATACAAGGACCTGACCAAACAGAATGCAGACTGTCAGCCAGGAACCAGCCACCGGCCTCACCGGCCTCATACCCCGACCACTAGAAACGTTCTTCAACGAGATCTCGATTAGGCGTTACAGACTACATGCGGCAGATTGCCACTGAAAGTGTCAATTGGCTAGTCACTCAAGCTCAAATGCCGCATTATGCAGAAGATAAGCGCCGAACTCTGAGCCAGGTCGATCATCAATGCTTTGCTCCCCAAATTGCCATGAATAGAAAGACTACATGTTTATGGGACAAGACCAAAAGACATTGCGGTAAAGTCCCCGAATCAAAGGCAGTTCCTGAAATGAGCAAGAAATATCTATCTGGAACCAAGTAAATCCTAAATCAAACCTGTGCTGTTGTACAGATCAGGGTATTAACAGGAACGGACGGTCAAAAATCGCATTGACATCAGTGAGCGAATAAAACAGTTCGACGGAACAGCGTTTTAGTGATGAGCCTCTGTCTATATAAACCAGGGATTGCCTGCAGCCATGTGCCTCAGATTCGAATCGCAAGATAACTCAACTCCCTTACGAAGTCAATTCAGCAAATGTCTAAACTTCTCAACGCTGTTACTCTGCTCGGTGCAGGCACTCAAGGCTCGCGCCTTGCATACATGGTATGTCTGAGCCTCCAATTTTGAACCAGAGCTTGGTTTAACTAGTATCGATAACAGTGGTCTCGACAAGGGAGACCAGTCTACCTTGTCGACAAAAGCCCTGCCCAGCTAAATCTGGCATTAGCCACCATACAAAGGCTAAGAGCCTCAGATCCAGCTGGGAAGGAAGGCAAAATATCCAGTCTCACTGTCGACGATCTGGACCCAGCGCTCCGCGACTCTTGGCTCGCTATTGAGGTAGGAAAGGACTAGCAACCACTGATACACCCTTGCTAAACCCTGTCAGTGTGTCCCAGAGGACCTGGAATACAAGCGGTCCGTGATGCTGGACCTCGACAGTAGATCGCACTCCCAGACAATCATCGCGTCAAACTCGAGCAGCTATTCCATTACAGACATCCTTCATGGACTATCCCTCAAAGCAGATGATCGTTTTGTCAACCTGCATTCCTGTAAGTCCAATACCTACCAAGAACTATCTCATGAGCAGCAACACTGACTATTAATTTTTCAAGTCTGGCCACCCGAGACAACAGGTAAGGAAGACCAGATCTAATACTAGCAAGAAGAGCTTTTTCAATGTGCTAACTCACCACGCTTCAGCGATCGAAATCATGGGCTCCAGCCAAACCCGACCCGACATCATCCCTCTCCTTATGAAGGAAACCCATGACCATGGATTCCAACCCTTCCACGTCCGCAAGTCCTCAACAGGCTACACCTTCAACCGGTATCTCGCCAATCACGTTATATGGAACACGGGTATACATGCTAATCATGTATAGCATCTGGGCCGCCATCAAGCGCGAGACACTCCTGGTCTTAGAAGAGGGCATCGCTACGCCCGAGGAGGTGGACCAAATCTACAAGTGTGTGCTGAACACGCCCCGCGGGCCCTGTGAGCTGATGGACATTGCTGGACTGGATGTGATTCTCGCCGTCGAGGAACATTACGCCAAAGTGAGGATGGGAATCCCTAATGCGCCGCGCAAATACCTACGAGAGATGATCGAACGGGGTGACCTGGGTGTCAAATCCGGCAATGGCTTCTTCAAATATACTACTTAGATTGGGAAAGCCACTACTGTTTAGTAGCACTATAGGATGTGTGCCAGTTTGAATGAATGGACATGTCTTTTGTGTATACATTACATCATGTTACTTTCATAGATTATTTAGCATTGAAACATATATATAAATTTTATGTTCTATTATGCCTTGGAAATCGTCGGAAGCTGATAAACACACGCTTAGATGAACGGCATTCTTGCTGAAAACGGATGGGACCAAAGAGTGGGCCAACTGGAAAGAGGATGGGAGAACATGCTTGCTGGTATCCTTACGTCTACGGCCTCTGGTCCTTGGTATCTCTATAGAAGTTGCATTGGCAAGACTGCTTGATTGTCTCCTGCAGGCGTAGGCCTATCCTTGGGAATATTTGAGTGTACTGATAAGGTAAAAGCGAGGAGTGGGCGTTTATGGGTGACACAGTTGGGATGGGTCAAACCATCGTTTATTGAAGCCTACCAGTACTACTAGGCTCGGTGACATGATAGTAGTATGGGTTCATTCATGGAGAAGGACAATATCTTCAGGTCATTATTAACATATGCATATGCTATGAACAGTCAATGTACCAGTAGTCGTATATACTATGGCTTAGCGAAAATGTGCAATGCCTTGCTCCCCATTTTATGTTCATGCTTTACGCTATAGATTCATCGTCACAGTCATGCTGTTACTATGAACTAGCAGACATGGCGGCAATCCCTGCCAGAAGACCGTCAAGTCACTCAGGTACGAGGCACTTGCTGCCTCGCTCTGTGCAGTGCCTTCGGACGGCGATGGCAAAGTTGTGAATAGGACAGCTGTATCATCACTGTGCTGGTTCATCAGCTCATTCAAGATCAAGTGCTGCGCCCGACTAGGGAGATCATTGAATGATAATGGAACTGATGCCTGCCTTGGATATCCAGACGCGGTTTTGGGGACAGATGGCCCTGAAGAAGAGCGTCGTGTATAAATGGATTCAATCCGGTTAGATGTGCGTGGAGGAGATGCACTAGGAGCGAACATGATTGAAGGGCCCGCGCCCTC